CATCGGGATGTCCCGCACGCGACAGACCAACGTACAGCTGACCATGACCGAACACAGGTTTCTCAAGATACAAACCAGCCCTCGACACACTCTGACCCTGGGACTTGTTAATCGTGATCGCAAAGGCAAGACGCAAGGGGAACTGTCGCCTCTTCCACAGGAAGCCGGCAGAGTCGTCGAAGTCACGAGTCAACGACTGGGCAGAATTGTGGCTTCGATGAGCCGTCCAGACACGGACTTGTTGACAATCAGGTGAGTGCCATTGTACATGCCCATTTGCACAGAGATGTTTCTCAGCAACATATCCGGAACCCCCTTCTTTATGCGCAGCACATGCGGCGGCAAGCCGGAGCAACTCAAGTTGTTGAGGTACTCAACGGGAACGTTCAAACCGTACAAGTCCGTAGGTGTGTTGTCAAGTGACCTGTAGATGATGTCCGGTTCGGGGAGACCATCCAAAATCAGATTATTGATAACGTACGCAGCGTCGTTCTTGGGGCACAAAACCAACTTTCCGTGAGGTAGTCGGGGTCGTGAAGATGCCGACCGAGGTCGGGAAATGTCCAGTCAATGAGTGCACCAAGATCAAGGCCCATGCATATCTCCGGCGGCAGCTCAATCGTCTCGGGATCCGCAGGGTCCAGGACGTCGTGCTCCCCGTCACCGACACGCAGCAGGAAAGCAGCGAACTTTCTTGCGACCTCATCATCGCCACGCCGCAAAACCCTCATGTTCTCGTGTAGCCTGTGCGTTTTGAAGTGCGCCCACAACGGCAACAATTTTATGGATTTGCTCTGCCCGAGTGCCTCTTCTCACCACCGGCAAAACCTGCCTAAAGTCACCCGCCAGCAGAAGCACCTTGCCACCGAAGGGCTCGTCCGTTTGACAGATATCCTGCAAGGTGACGTTGAGAGCTTCCAACTGCGCGCGGTGCGTCATCGGCGCCTCGTCCCAAACTATAAGGCTGCACATTCTTATCAGGCGCGCAAGTTCCCCCTGTCTTCGAATAGGAAAAGCTTTCTTAGCATCTGACTGAAGAGGCGCCTGAAACCGCGAGTGGAACGTTCGTCCGCCGGGAAGCAGAAGTGACGCTATTCCGCTGGACACGACCGCCAAAGCGATCCTGTTTTCATGCCGATGCACGCCAGCAAGTATGGTGTTAATGCAAAACGTCTTGCCCGTTCCGGCGGGAGCATCCCCAAAAACGCACAGCGGACTCCTGTTCAGCACAACGGACATAACGCCATCAACCAGCTTTTTTTGTGAAGGGCGAAGCAAAGGGTAGTTTGCTCCCCACTGCCTCTCCATATCCGCCCTGTCGTACCTGAGCTCCTCTCGGATCAGTTCGAGCAAGCCCTCAAGGAGAATCCGAGCGCGCAGCTCCTCAGCAACGCGCTGCGCTTCCGGGTCGGGGAACGCCAAACCAACACCTCCCATAGTGGTTTTCATGTCCAGCAGCTGAATGTGAATGTCCAACACCGCCAACGCTTGCAGAATCCCCGGCGCAACACTCATGCCCATCAGCTTCCTCACGTAGTCCTCACACATGGGCTGCCAGTGCTTAGAAAACAGCGCCATGGGGTCAGACACAGCCCCGTACGCAAGCAGCATGGCGAAACATTGCCTGATCTGGTGCGGCATGTAATGAAGAGCCGCCGTTTCCATATCCTTGCCGTACTCCGAGTCGTCATCAAGAAGGTGGAGGCGCTGGCAAACTTCTCGGAACGTGGCCAACTCCCCGTGCTCCACCGTTCTCAATGCAGCGAAAGACGTCGCGCCACGAGAATGTTCATGCCCGAGGAGGATGCGCAAGTAGAAGAGGTCCCCCTTAGCCGGGTACGCACGCTGCAGGCAGCCGATCTTGGGAAAGGCGCCACTTCTCCCAACCGAAAGGCGCAATTTCCACCGCTTCTCAGTCTTGTGCCACGTGTGGGTTTCGGTGACGTCAGCATAGAGCGGAAGACGATTGCACCCAGGGCGTTGAAGCTCCTTGTGAAGCTCCATCCACGCCGTCAACTTCGTGCGACCTGCACCGACGTCGACTGCAATCTCCTCCTCGCCTTCTTCAAACATGACAGTCTCGTCACCCTCCAAGTGAACCGGCAGCCTTTCGACGGGTGGCCATTGCTGGGTTACGGGGAATCCGAAGATCCGCCAGCACGCCTCGCTCGCGCCAACGCAACG